GTGACGAGAGAACAGGCAACACAGTCTAAGTAATTCTATACATTATCCGCTGTTATCTTTCCAGATAAATGTGGGGGTTTCTTGGTCGTCAATAGAGGCATAGCACCGGTTCCACCTACCGGGGCGGTGGGGTAACCTAGTGGTTAAAGCGTTCGCTCATCACGCCGAAGTCCCGGGTTCGATTCCCCACATGGGTACAATGTGTGAAGCCCATTTTTTGTGTCCCCCGCCGCGATATTGCTGGAATATTGCTAAAAGCGGCTTAAAAATAAACTCACTCACAACTCACTCAGTGTTGCGATGTACCGAAACATGAGTCTCATCGATGTTCAGACAATGACCTACTTTTCAGCCGATCCGAATTTTCTCGTGTGAAAGTGAAAACAGACACTACAAACAACTATGGTAACACTGTATTCTTCTTCATTGTTTCATAAGAAATGGTATTTACAAACTGATTTTAATTTTAAAGTTTTAAACAATCGTATTTTTATATTTTATGGTCATGTTTAGGCAGCATGTGGTTAACTAAGACTTCACAGACTGCCCCTGTTTGAAGAGGTCTTACAATGATTCACAATTCATCTGACTCACTGGTTACCTCTGTTTTGTGTTCTTTGCGCTTATTAAGTGTATTTTTGTAATGTACGATGTAATTGATATAATATCAAGTCCGTACCAGACCGTCAAACCTTTCTAGCGACCGAGCCTCGTTTTGAGATTTCCACGATTTCCGTTTGTCAGAGCACGCTTTACGACAGAGCACGCTGCTCGACGTGTTTGCAAGGATTAGATGAAGCTAATGTCTCACATGCACAAATGTCTTTCTTTCCTGTATGACAACAATACAACAAGGATTCATCCATACAGCTCATTAACTGCCCGTAACGATCCCGGAGATGCGTTCAATTACCCTATCCTTCATCCTTTACGGAGGTCCGACCCGTAAAGATCCGGGTTAAAATTGGTCTTCAACAACCCATGCTTTTCGTAAGAGGCGACAAGTGGGATCGAGTGTCTAACATGTCACTGTATCCCAATTGCGTAGATCGATGCTCATGCTGTTGATCACTGGATAATTTAGACAGCCGCCATATAGCTGGAATATTGCTGAATGCGGCGTTAACAAAAAATATAATACAAACATACATACTTACATCTACTGAGGCAAAATATAAACTTCACAATTCATATTTGTGAATAAAAATATGAACTGTTATCGTATACAGTTTTCGGGGCTCATAATATTAGTCCCCAGGTATCGACTCAAGAAGAAAACTCACCACAGCACATTGAAGTCAATCCAAACATCATCAGTGAGTGAGTTTAGTTTAGTTTTACGCCGCACTCAGGAATATTCTAGCCATATGGCGGCGGTCTGTAAATATAGAGTCTGGACCAGACAATCCAGTGATCCAAATATCGTGAACCCCAAAATAGTGCTGAAACGTCTTTTTTATCATTGTATATGTTCATTCGATCGCACATGTTCCCATCAACTGTACATAGTGAAAAAATCACTTTACAGCACTATTCAGAACAGTCAATTCTTATGCCGCGCCTCTCAAATGTGCAGCGTGAACGTGCCGTTGGCATGCTGGAAGCGGGAACGTCAGTAAGTTACGTTGCAAGGACAATGGGGTGCAGCCGTCGGACTGTTTATGATTTACAGACTCGACTGCAAAATACTGGCACCACTGCATATCGCCCTTGGCCAGGTCGACCACGTGTGACGTCCCAGGCACACCCTCAAATTGTGTTACGTCACCTCCGTAACCGTTTATATTGACGACTACAGGAACATGAAATGAGCTCTTTACGGGTCGATTGTCGCGACAGGCTATCCGAAATCGGCTGCGAGCTGCTCACCATATCGCGGAACCATTTTGACGCCGACGTCAGCATTTGCTGTGTCCCCGACGACACCTCCGATGGACTCAGAGACTGGAATCGAGTTGTCTTCAGTGATGAATCAAGATTTACCCTCGGATTCACTATACTGATGGTAGGATGAGAGTGTGGAGCGGACGCCGTAAGCGTCGTGCTCAGTGTTGTGTGCTGGTAGTTGACAGATTTGGGGGCGGAAGTGTCATGGTTTGGGGTGATTTCTGTGGGATTGCTCGTTCCAGACTTCTGGTTATCCGTGGGAACCTTAATGCGACCAGGTGCAAGCCCCCGAACTTATTCCATTCATGGCAGCTCATGGTCCAGGCCTGCACTTTCAGCATGACAATGTCAGACCCCATACTGCCATCTCGACCAGGAATTACCTGCAGAACGCAGGAAACAACGTTCTTGACTGGCCGTCAAGGTCACCTGATCTCGCAATCCAATCGAGGACATCTGGGATGCCCTTGGTTGACGTCTGCGCACTCACGGGAACCAACCCCAGAATTTGATCTTAGTGCTCCTTTGCAGGAACAAAAGCGCCGACTCCCCAATAATGTGTTCACATGCACGGATCAGACAGTCCACGAGGAGACGTTGCTTTGCAGTTGTGAACGCACGGGGTGACCATACACACAAATGAACGTTTGAAACATCAGATTTACTTTCTTGTGACTTGACACTTTGTTTACGCCTTCTATTGATACATTCTGTAGTCACATCGAAACGATTTTGGCGTTGTGCTTATTCTCAGTTCATCCTTTCGACCTTAACAAATAAATTATAACCTCTATACCACATTCTTGTGTCCTTTCTTTTATATATTACTTAAAGGTCACATGCAACGTAAAACACCACTTTGCAGATTCTGATACCTTTCGGTATGGACTTACCGAAACAAATCATCATAAATGCAAATTCAACTTATAAAGTTGAAAAATAACGCGATAAAAAAAACCGCGCGAAATCGGAGTTCAAACGATTCACTAATTTTTCCCCGACTTTTCGGGGGAAAACTGCTTTCAACAGCTGGGCTGCGCTCATAGCACGTGCGCAGTGAAATAGGTTTGCGCAACTTGGAAGCGGGCTGTCTGGTGAATACTCGGTGAAGGCTTTGGTGTGAGCTATTTTCCTAATGTTTTGTTGATATCTCACAGGCGCGAGCTTTTTATATGTTATGACAGTAAATAAACTGTTTATATAATTTTATTTGTCTATTTCACCACACGTTCTTCTTACCGAGTCACTTTCTCAGTTCGATACTTAAAAGCAAGGTCATTATTTAGCGTTGACAGAATTTCTAACTGTGATATAGATGTCACAGTCACATGTCGTTGTCACAGACAAAACTCAATGTCTTGTTTTATTGACACCTGTGTGTCTGCCTGCCTCTCTGCAAATGACAACATTCAATACACAACTGCGATCACTGACCACATGCAATTTGAACTTAACACCAATCAGGCTATACACCATAAACAAAACGCATTGATTTATGGCCCGAGTTCGGCCTCTGTCACATTATGTAATTACACAGACAGGCAGGTGTGATACTTGAACACATGACATGTTATGATGTCTGTTGATTGCAAAATGTTATACACAAAAAATGAGCATGTATTTACAAAACCCAACATCTCTATATATACACACACGAGCCGTGAGGGAATCTGCAAATGAACCAGCCGTTACACTTGAGTGCACACCCACCCGCTCTGACTGGGTTCGGTATCCCGGCTGCTTCGTTTCTTGGGAAGTAAACCCAAGTACACAATATTGCACTTTTGATTTGCGATTGTACGCTTATAATTTTGTTTATATGGTTTTTCATAACCAGCAATGTATATTATATGTCATGAATAAGTGATAATTGTGTTTTAATTATGTTTGATTTTTTGGTTGTATGTGACCTTTAAAGTTAGTATATACATGTGTTGCCATTTGTCAAATAAAGCTTTACTTATTAATTAACTCTACACGTTCGCTCGTCAGGCCAAAGACCCGGGTTCGATTCCCCACATGAGTACAATGTGTGAAGCCAGTTAATGGGTGTCCCCCGTCGTGATATTGTTGAAAATTGCTGAAAGCAGCGTAAAAACATACTCACTCACTCACTGTTTGCATGGCGTTTAAAGAATGCTGTTTTCAATTCTTGCCAGACTTTGTGGTATACTCGATTCTGATTCTGAACCTAAGTCAAGGGACCGCAAATTACACAGACCGTTAGAATCGGATATCGGCGATTTTCAACTTCGAGGTGTGTGGAGTGGTCCGATGGCGACCTACTAGATTCAACTGATGTGAATGAAATTCTAATACAGGTATAAAAAGTAACACAAAATAACAAAATGCAATGTTAGCAAGTTAAGGTTTCGAAAATGTTATGTGTTAAGGATCGCTCCTAATTTATGGCTTTGTCCTGACTTACAGTGAAAACAAATCCTAACCCGTTGCCTTTGGTCTCCGGGGCCAACTTCCGTAAATGTGTCTCAGATTAAAACTGACAGGTCTGATCTATTCCAAAATGTAAGGGGTGGTGGGATAACCTAGTGGTTAAAGCATTCGCTCGTCACTCCGAAGGCTTGGGTTCGATTCCTTACATGGGTACAATGTGTGAAGTCCATTTCTGGTATCCCCCGTCGTGATATTGCTGGAATAAAACGGCGTAAAACTAAACAATGTCGCTCTTTGCGCGCGAAATTATCCCGATTTCAAACGCGTGTCAGTCGTGACAGTATTGAGATAAAGGCGTTATTCTGTTTTCATTTTTGTGGGCTTTAATCACAAGCTAAATTTCCGCAAAAATGAAAACAAAAAGGCTTCATCTTCTAAGCATATATTTCGCAAATAAAACATATTGACCCCTTTCGAAAATATTTCCGCTTTATGTTCTGATAACATAATATAATAAGTAGATAACTTGATTCTACTGAAAGACGTCAGTAGTTTCTGTGTATTAGAGAATAGTTTCCTTTTGCCAACTTCCAAAATATTGTTTGTGAAACGTATGCGAAGATACCCTTTGCACAACACTAAATTAACTCACTTCAGCTGAAGGAATCCAGTCTCGCGAGTGACGATCGAGCAAACCAGGTCACGTGACACGACGTTCCGGTTGACTGTGTCAAATCTACTTCCTTGTGCATCGACAAACCTTCACGCGAGCACCTGGACACAAACATGTCGAGTAAATTGTGATTACCACGGCATCATGACAGAAAATATCGAGGAGTGTTTGAAAAAGTTTATTGTCCATGTTGATAATTTGGGGAAAGAAGACGAACCAGGTGGAGATGGGTTCTGGAGAGAGTTTAAGGTCAGTGTCTCGAACTATTCACAGCACGAAGTTTTGTGTTTTGTTTGTATTTCCGTGAATGTTCAGGGTTAAGTGTAATGACAAAACCGTCCTCCATCTTAGTTTCATCACCGTTATCGCGTTTGAGAGACGTCTTAATATTTGTATTTGGCTGTTGTTTTTATCACAAGCCGAACACTTTATAAAATGTCTACCGTCTATCGCGTCAAGAATGTCAACATTGTTTCTAGGGATTTTATGACACTTCGGAGACAACTGGCATCCAATAAACTTGAATGTCACATCCAAGTATTGAAACAGCTCCAATTTGAATATATGCAAAACATGTTACTGTTCTTCGTTATTTCGTGTGTGAACAGTTTGAAGAATTTCCTACCTTACCAAACTGCTTACATAACACACCAGATAGGATCAGGAATATGTTATCTTGTAGTTCATTCTGCATATTTTGATAAGGGATATAGAACTTGTTTTATTTGATTAGCTGCCAAATTAATGCAAAGTAACATTTGGGAAGCAACATTTTGCATATTGAAGCTGCTAAATTTCATACCTGGACTCTTGGCAGTAGTTCCCTAGTAAGTTTGTCTTCAGCAACCAATGTTTGTCATAAGAGACGATTAACAGGATCGGGTGGTCAGGCTTGTTTCTTGGTTGACACAGCTCATTGTACCCCAATTTATTATATTTATTCTCATGATGTCAATCACTGGATTGTCTGGCCTATACTATAAATTATTTACAGGCTGTCTTCAAAAGGATGGAATATTGCTGCAAAAAGATGTTTATACACTGCTGGTCTTATTTGTCAATCTCTTGATGTTTAACATGTTTAAACTGTAGTGCAGGTAAAACATGTCAAAATCATGTAAATTATTTTTCAAATTATCAGTGAAAAAGGTCAAATTAATCCATTATATCATTTTTGGTTTAACTAATTGATAGTGGTTTAGTTGTCTATATCTCTCAATGGAAACCTGTCTAAGCAGGTATTTATCATGTTTATACAACAGGGCTTGATTTAAGAGATGTTAACCTACTCGCACCAGGTGCAACCTAAGATAAAAACCTAGTTGCACCAGCCAAATTCCAGTTGCACTGATTTTATGGTGAAATGAAAGAAATGTAATGAAAGAAATATACTATTGAGTTATTTAGATGTTTTATTCAGAAGTTTACCCACTGAAAAATTGACCTGCACCTGGTGCAAGTTAGAATAATAACTATGTTGCACTTTGTAATATTGGCTAGCATCAGTGCAAGTAACAAAGCACTAAATCAAGCCCTGTACAATGTCTTTGAAAATTTGAATGTGTGTTGTAAAGGTTACTCTGTACTTCCCTGTAATAGTGTTGGGTGTGGTGGGGTAGCCCAATGGTTAAAACGTTGGCTCATCCCGCCAAAGACCCGGGTTCGATTTCCCACATGGGTACAATGTGTGAAGCCCAGTTCTGGTGTCCCCCGCCATGATATTGCTGGAATATTGCTAAAAACGGTGTAAAACTAAACTCACTCACTCACTGTAGTAGTGTTGACAATCTGACAACCTTTAGCCATTAAGACTGTTTATATTGTCACTGAGAATAGTTAACTTTAGCATGTACCTGTAGCTTGTTCGGTGTACACCTGTTGCGAGTCTAATGGTGGGGGGGGGGGCTCGAATGGTCCAGTTGTGTAAAGTTTGGCAGTTTGCTATGCCGGGTTGTGCCCCCTTGACATGCAGGAAGCTGTGATTCTGGGTTCAAATCCTGGTTTGCCCTGATTGTGTTTCTACCTTTGTCAGCACCCTACCGATTCTCATCTGTTTCACTAAATGGCAAACATATCGCGGCTTTCCTTCAGCGTTAAATTTAGCAGAATTTCCACAGCATAACTGAAACACTGTTCACAACAGTGTTAAACACAAAAGGTGATGGTTTCTTCTTTGCCAGTTACTAACCTTGAGTTCAACTTTGATCAAAACTCGAGTATGTGTTTTGTACACCTAGGCTGCTGCACTCACTCACTCACTCAAAGTTATGAAAGTCATATAGTTTTTACACAGTCTGATAAATTGTGATATGCTTCCCCATGTTGGTTGTTGTGAAAGTGGTGGTGAAACTTTAAGTGGGATGATATTGTTCTCATACACTCCTAGTAACCGCAATTAATTTCCTGGACTTGGCAAGATTTATGTATGTCTCTTTTGTTATATTTCCGTATATTCTGTTGATAGTGGTAATACATTAATGTGATTGGCCTGGCGAATTATGCACATTTAATAATGCCAATAGTGATTTATCGAGATCTGTTCCAAGGTTGTCAACGGCAACTGTTGTCAGGATGAATTCCCAAACAGGAATGAAATATTTGTCAGTCGGTATTACATTAACGACTAAGTTTATGGTTTTATTGAGATAACCTTTAGTTCGCTGATAACAGGACTAAGAGAGAGGAAGTGGTTTCATGTTCAGTTTTATATTTCAACACTGAATTCAATCTTAAACTGCAAAGTTGAAATACTTATGAATTTAAGGAAATAAGAACTTAAATACTAATCTTGATTTTGAACCAAACCCACTTTCCCCCATAATTTGGTTGCAAGATGCACATATCTCAGAATCTTTTCTAAGTTCCTGGGCCCTGTTCCTCAAAGCGATCGTAGCGCTAAGATGATCGTAACTCCCATGCTTTACCATAGACTTACAACTGTCGTAGCGCTACGATCGCTTTGAGGAACGGGGCCCTGGGCCTAGATTTTCAAGCTCTCTTAACGCTAAGATAGTCGTAAGTGCCTTACATTAACATTAACTTATGACTATCTTAGCGCTAAGAGAGCCTCGAAACCTAGGCCCTGGTATGTTTATTACGTGTGGTGTGTTGTGATGCTTTTGTCCAGGTGTTTTGTTTGTTTTTATGTTTGTTGTTTAATGCCGTACTCAGCAATATTCTAGGTATATGATGATAGTGCTTGACATCATGAGCATCGATCTACACAACTGAGATACGATGACATGTGTCAACCAAGTCAGCAAGTCCCACCACCTGGGTGCCATTGTGAAAAGCAATCTTAGTGCTATGCCAGTCTATGTTAAGGTATGGGAGTTACGATCACCTTAGAGCTACGACCACTTTGTACAATGGCACCCTGATCCCATTGGTTGCCCCTTATGACATGCACAGGTTGCTGTAGATCAGTGTTAACCCGGTTCTTCATGGGTGTGGGATGGTCAGGTAGCCTAGTGGTTAAGGTGTTCGCTCATCATGCTAAAGACCCGGGTTCGATTCCTGAATGGGCATTATGTGTGAAGCCCATTTCTGGTGTCCCCTGCTGTTATATTGCTGGAATATTGCTAAAACTGGCGTAAAACTAAACTCATTCACTCATTTTTCATGGGTGTCAGCGAAGGGCGAAACAACCCATTGCCGATGAGTCACTATTGTCATGAATTACACACTGTACCGGTGTCATTGACTTTTGTATCATCATCAGCATTTAAAAATCAGCAAGAAAACGGTCGGTATAGTGGAAAAATGATTAGGGCAAGTGACTTTACATGTGCCACTGTACCAGAGTACACTATCAATTTTAAAGTTATTTCCACCCCTGCTGTCAGGGTATGTCGTGATGGGTTTTGCCTTGAATAGTGAATACTCATGACAGTGTTTGGGGATTGACCATGAATGGTACGATTATTTGCAATTTGTGGAAAGAGAGCAAGCTTAATGTACAGAATGTCTATAGCGATAAGATATAGAGTAAAGTACATTATGACAAACAGGCTTATATTATAATAAACTGACGGATGTAGCAAACTGCTTTTCTGCTCCCGGCGCCTTGTTATAATGATCAATGGTTATAACAAACCAATATTTGCAGCCTCTTTGAGTTTGTTATAACCTAGTGTACCGTATTGGCCCATGTTAGTGTCAGACATGATGGTAGTATGTCAAGTCAAACAGGTGTATTGTATGAAGGGGCCCCGGCCCATATACAATAGAGTATTTTACAGAGCTTCAGATAATTTTTCAACATCAGGAGTACGTACTCCTTATATTTTCAACATAGGCGTACTGGAAAACTTTAAGAGTACATTTAGAGTACTGAATGGAATTAATGGAGCATCAGTAATCTTGTGTTTCGTTTCATATATGCACCACAACATTGCTACTCTTGTGTAAACAGGTCAATAAACAATAAAACAATACTTTTTCAGATAAATACGTCTGTAAATGATTCTAAGACTATATACCATGCTGTGGTGCGAATCTGCTACGTTTTAAAAAATATTTCCTACCGTATCGTGCATATTTTTTATCCGTGCATACGCTGATACAGCCCTTATCTGGAACCCTGATTTTACATATATAGGTATGTACACGTGTTACACACATGAAGATACACATTCTTTAAACAGTTCATTTCTTTTGACTAGTACATGTTTAATATGTAGTGAAAGATTTAATATATGAGAGTCGTTCTTAGTCGTTAGGGTTAGTTGGGTAGCCTAGTGGTTAAAGCGTTTGCATATCACACCGAAGACACAGGTTTGATTCCCCACATGGGTACAATGTGTGAAGCCCATTTCTGGTGTGCTCTGCTGTGATATTGCTGGAATATTGCTGAAAGCGGCGTAAAACTAAAATCACTCACTCTTAGTCGTTAAAATATATACAAAAGCTTTCATCAGTGGCATCCCTATCAAATAATCTGTAATATGTTTCTTTCAAAGGCCACTATAAAATGGACAGACGAACACAAAGTGAATTTCATTTTCTATTTCTTAAATTTTCTATATTGCTTAATTGGTAGATTCGTTACGAATTTTCAATGGGAAGTTTTCTTCCTTCATTTACTAAAAGGTCTAATAAACCAAGCTGATATTTAATAAAATTGACAGGTACATGATAGTAGTATGTTAGATACAGCAGCTGGTGCCTCTACTCCACTGTCGCCCCTAGAGAACCCCGCTCAAGTACATAGTGTTCCTTGTGGTATTGAGGCTGGAGGTGGCCTCAGG